CTCCATCTGAATACACCTGCATCGCTCAAGTGGATAAACCAACTCTGCTTTTAACCCAAATTGAAATTCAACGAACAAAAAGGATAACAACGAATACTCCATTCCCAAATAAATTCGCTCAATTCTTTCATATAATCAGTATTTATAGAGCTAAACCAACCTCCTAAACCCCCCTCAGCCCCACAATCTGTTTAGAATTAGAAATCCTAATTCTATTCTCCCCCGAGAGCAATCAATAAACATAAAGAAATAAAGATATACAAGCTCAATGTAAAACTATGTCATCTTCCATTGTTGCAGTAATTTTTTTTTTTTTTTCGATAACCGTGGATGTCCGGCCAGCTTGCGCGCATCTCGACTAATCCCACGAGGTCTTGAAGTTTACGGCCAGGTACTCACTTCAGTGGCCTTGAGGAGACATTGTTGCAGTAATTCACTGTGATAAAAATAAGTTTATAAAAGAAAATCATACAAATCTCCTTTAACCTCTCTTTCGCTCTTTCATTGTGGTAATTAAAAGCCTAATGATAGCTCCCTATTTATTTTTAAAAAAAAATTAGGGCAAAATCAAAATTGTACAAGAACTCAAATTCCTATAACGAAATTTACGAGGAAAAACATTCCTAAATTACCCTTAATGAATTTTTAGTCTGAGGGACGGAGAGGGCTTCCTGGCCCCCTTCCAACCCCTGGAAGACCTCACCGCGAAGGTCTATCCGCGAACTAGCTCCGCGAAAGATTAATAATTAGGCTCCCCAACTTAACACAATTCTTTACGTGGGCGGCCAACACATAAAGAGAACTAAAAATACAAGACATGGAAAAGGGAATAATATAGGCTATGCTATCATCTGTTATTGTAATCAAATGAAGAAAATCCTTCTTCTATATAAAGCCAATTCACAAAATTTACTTCGTTTTCAATTAAAAATAAATAAAAATTCTTCTAGAACAGGTAAAAGAGATCATCGAGTCATCATATACAAAACCTAATATCACAAGAAAGTTTCTCGATTAGTACAATTCACCTCAAACTATTCCTTACTTTCGTTAAAATTTCTCTTTACCCTTTAAGTTTTCGTATTCTAATACATAAGAGAAAAGTAGACATGAGTTGTACCGTAAAATCAAGTGGGTGGAGCCACCACGGAGGAGAGGTTTTTGGGCTGCATTCTCTCAGGGAAATGAGTGAAGCAGAGTTGACTACTTTGCTTATTTATTGGAAGAATAATTATACTTGTAAGTCAAAAAAATGTACATAGGGTACACCCGTTCGTACACCCCTACATGTAGATCTACCACTAGCAAAATCGTTATTGAAAACTCTTTTTTTTTTTCAATTCTCATTTTCAATCGTATATTTAAAATATGGGAGATTTTCATAAATGTCACTAAATTTAAAAATTCATAAAAAAAATTGGATGTACACTAAATTTGTTCAAAAATGTCACTTTTTTGGTGTCAAAGGTCCAAACTATCCTTGATGTCCCCTTTGTAAGAGCAATTAATGCTTGATTAGAATGTCATTAATGGTTTGATGTGATGATTACATTTTGATTATTTT